GGTCTGGCACTAGTAACACAAAATGGTGTTTGCAAAGAGCCGTAAAAGCAGGTTGTTTCGCTTCCAGGAATGTGTGACCTTCTCACCCTTTTGCTCTCTTTTCGTTTTGGAGTGAGAGCTCTTTAGTGAGGAGAATTTTTCAAAGACCATTCACCTAAAACGAAACTTTTTTTTTCCCCCTTCTCCATAAAATCATATAACAATAAAATAATCTAGGGAGAATGGCATGACAAAGAAACTTCAGGAACTTTAGACTTCTAAAAAATATTTTTAGTTTTATGTTTTGAAGGATTTTGAAAGGGAAAAGTCCAAATGTGATGTTTAAGTAAATGTTTTGAGTTTCTCCTTTGGGGCCTTTCCCCCCTTCCCCCCCAACACTCTTCTTCATCTGTGCTTTTCCTCTATGTCCTAACTAAACTTTTCGAAGTTCAGAAACAACTAGATGCCCTAATAAAAACGATGCCCCTCTCTGCTCTTGGGACTCTCCTGTTAGACCGTGATCCTCTGCAACTCCAAACAAGGTGAGCAGGAACCTAAAATTGTCTCATATATTTTATTACCAGCTTAAACTAGCTGTTTCCCAGCTGGGTGTATTCTTGGGACTCCTCAGCCTTTTTCTGAATCATCTCAGCATGTGAACTCCGTGGTGTTTGCAAACAGCTCAGCCACACTAGAACACATCTAATATTCATAGAATAAATAGATAATTTTCCCCCATTTCTTACCCTTCTCTCCTGGTTTTGTCCAACTGTGTGGCTTTAGAAGCAGTTGTTTGCAGAGACTCTTCTGATGTTTTATGGACCTGTGGGCCAGGGAGAAGAGCCTGAGAACTGGCGGGTTGCCCACTCCAGCACTGGAGGAGAAAATTATCCATCCAGAGGGACGAACAAGGCCCCAAGCGCTTGAGGTTCTTTTCTTCAAGAACTTGTGAGCAGTGTCCACCTGGATTTCACAGGCGCAACAGGGAGAAAGAATAGGGAAGGAGAGCCCAGGTTGGCTAGAGCTCAGAGCAACCTGGTGTGACTCTGTGGCTGTCCCCCTTTCATTCAGGAGGTCGATCTTGTGCCCTGCTGAGGTCCCGTCCACCCTGTGTTGTCCCATGACCCTGCACCCAACAAGGAGGCGCAGCCACAGGAGCTGGAGTCACCAGGACATTTGGAGTCCTGGGACAGGGGCTGAATTAAGGCCCTCTGAAAGGGTGCCAGACTAAGCCTTGCCCTCTGCTGTCAAGGGGAAGGACTTGTGTCCTTGGAAGGACCAAGACCTACACAATGACCTCAGGAACATGTGGCCTTGTCCCTGCTCTCCCACAGCCATCTGGTCCAGCCAAGCTCATTCTGCATTGCTGTGCTAGAAGGCAGAGCCCCTTTACGTGCATGCCCTTAGGTCCGTTTTCCCCTGTTTGAAACCTGTTGACTTTATCAAATGGAGCTGCACTGACTGGAAAGTGCAGGTGCAACATGACTTAATGCGAGCCTGTGGGGGAGGCGGGGGCTGCACTGATGAGGTTGAAATTATGGTAAAGTTGATGTCTGTTTGGAGTGTGGGAAACATCCATCTGGAGTGAGCATGGCCTTCCTTTTCCAAGAGAAAAGAAGGGACAAAGTTCTCCTGGTTTAACAGGGCCATGGAGTGCCATGCTGGGCATGGAGTGCCATGCTGGGCATGGACAAACACCCATCTCCCACTGTGGTTAGAAGCAGGTGTCTAAGGAAGAGTATGAGAGCAAAGCAAGAGTGAATGATCCTTTTCCCATCCCCTGAGAGAGCCCCTAATTTCCTGACCCAGACATGGCTCCTGCATCCTCAGTTTCCCTCGGAGCTTTCCCTTTTGTAAACTTGCTCAGTCCTCATGGAAGCCCCATAGACTTTTAGCATCCGTGCTATTTCCAACAGCAAATGCCAGCTTCATCACACATGGGTGAAGAACTGCTTGTTTGGTACTCAGCCGCTCCATGTGATGCCCCGGGGTGCCTGTCCTGGCAGAGCAGGAGGCAGTGCTGTCCCCACGCAGCCCGCAGCCCTGTCCTCCTCCTCGCTCAGCTCCTTCCAGACTGAGGACTACTCCAGCCTGCTCCGTATCCCCTTGCATGGGGGCTCTTTGCGCCCTTTGCTGAACGCTTCCAGATCAGCTGCACTGTTTTGAGCTGGATAGGACACCAGAACTGGAGCTCATACACAAGGTGTGGGTGACCCAGGGACTCAGCAGTATCGGAACAGTGATCTCTTAGTATCCTCTCCTTCCCTAGTAATACTTGGGAGAACCTAGGCAGTGTTCACATATGCTGATCTGTTGGGAGGTCAGTAAGGCCGAGTATTCCTCCCCGGCACAGCTGTATCCAGAGGACAGCTCGCCCACAGCATGGCAGAGACCTTGGAAAAGTTGGAGGCTCTTTTCCACATCATTTGGTTCATCTCCAGGGTCTGACCTGTACCTAAATGGAGTTATCTGCCCCAATGATGTCTGTGAGAAATTCACCTTGGTGTGCATCCTTGTGAAGAGGTTGGTTTACAAAGCATCCTACCCTCCAATGGCCTTCAGATTTGGGAATTTGCTCTGAAAGCTGAAGAGCTGCATGTTATTTCCCTAGTAGGTAGGTGGAAGTAGGGAATGAGCAAAGCTTCCTGCTTTGATGTGCGAGCGCAGAGCTTGACGAATTTGGAGCTGGCTCTTGCTGCAGAGCTCCAGGGAAGGCCCTGGGATTGCGCTGGGGATCTGGGGAACATGTCACAGCAGCTTTCCCTGGACATGTTTGCCCCTTCACTTCTCTGTGTCTCTGAAAACTGTGTTCATGTCCTTCTGTCATTTCTGTTGGTTTTGTGATTGTGTTTTACCATGTCTCATATAAAGACACTACCCTCTGCTGGAAAATACTTGTCTTTTGAGAGGACGGAAATTGGCTAACTTCAAGCATGAATCCCTGCTTCCTTTGCCCTCGTATCAGGGTAGTGTAAAGCAAAGCAAGGCGACAGCACAGGGGAGCTGACAGGAGGGGCAGGTCTGGGGTGCAGGACACACACTGCCCTAACAGCTCGGCAGCCCAGGAGATCTGCAGGGACAGATGCAGCACGGATTTAAATGGGGGAATTGGTGATGAACATGGGAATATGTCACAGGATGCTGGACCTGTGACAAGTTGATGGCACAAGCATCGGGGGGAGCTTCCTTTCATACAGCCCCACGTGGACAGTCTGATTCTGCGAGTCTCAACCCGGATCCCCAGGCTCCCCCAGGCTCAGAGGCCCCAGGCACCATCCTTGGACATGACTGGGCTTTCTCCCATCACCAGAAAGAGGTTTTGGGCCAGCTCAATCATAAATCCCTAGTTTCCAGGCTCTTCTAATGGCACCTCCATCACATCGCTCAGACTGCAGAGCCCGTGTTGATCTACCAATGCCAAGACTTTAGCAGCTCTGAAACCAGAGCGAGGGATGCTGGCTGGCACCTTTTCCAGTGACTTCCCTGTATTTCAAAGCATCTCTCTGCATGTTCCCAAGCGGGGGTAGCAGAGCAAGGCTTCTTCCACCAGCAAAGACTGAAAATGACATTTAAGCTTCAAGACTTTATATAGGCAGGGGACTTGGGCAGAGACAGGTTGGGAGGGATTTGGCTTCAGAAGAGACTACCCTTGATGGACAGAGGAGGGATCCTACCCCGCAAAGGCAGCAAGTCAGGAGAGCCGGTGCAGGAGGAGGATTTCACGGCACTCGGAGCCACACACAGCATCCTTTGCATTGCACCTGCCAGACTTCATACGCAGCTTCAACTCCCCCAATCCCTTAAATCACATGCTCTCAAGCCATAACACAGCCATGGAAAAGGAAGCAAAGTGTTCTTTCTTTTCTCCTTTCATAAAGGAAGTACGTGGGAGGAAAGGCTAGAGCCTTTCTACTGTGTCCCTCAGGACTGGGATTGCACTGGGTTATCCCAACAGACTGGGAGCACCTGGGATGCTCCTTCCCACACCAGTTCCATACCCGGGGAGCAGGCTCCCGCGCACTCACCCCACAGGGGTGACTACTTGGCTACTCCATTGCTTCAGGGAGGCAAATGGCTGCTGCTGGGGCCTATGCCTGGCTGGGGGTCCCAGGGCTGAGAAGTGCAAAGAACGCAGGACAAGCCAGCACAGCAAGCACAGCCCTGTCCTGCGGCCCGCGACGGACCTGCGGTGTCACCGCACCCCCTCCACGGGAGGCCAAAGGACGAGGTGGCAGGGATGCAGCCTGACACTGTCAAGGAAACAGCGGATCAGCACAGACGGGAAGGAAAAACCCTCCTGCCCTTCTGCCCACACAACCACACCAAGAGCACCGGCGCAGCCGCCAGCACGGCAGGGTAGGCTGCGGATGCCAACAAGTCGGCACAGCGGGCTCCTCCCTGCTGAAAGATGCCATCCAGGTGCAAAGCGGGACAGTGTGAGAGCCAAAGGCTGTGAAATGGGGGTGTTCCAGGACGTGTGAGGAGCACCCATGGCAACGTCCTCCAGGCAAGGACGCCTGGGACACAGCACACGGGGGCAGCTCTCGTGCTCAGGTGTTTCCCTCAGAGCCCATGCATGGGATGGGCAACTGGACGGGCAGCTGAGGGCACAGCACCACACTGACTCAGAAATCAGATTACCTAAGTAGGATCTTCAGGCAAAATTTGTCAAAGGAGATGGTGGACGATTTGGTGGACAGCGGCAAAAGGTAAAGGCAAATGTTCTCCCCTGTCAGATGGGTAGCTCAGGAAGAGAGTGTGTTTTGCAAGAGCTGGATATACACAAGACATCCCTAGAAGGGCCTTGGTGTGGGCACAAAGACATCACACAGCGTCTTTGGGGCTGGGAGGTGAGAGCCTCAGGGTGGGAAAGGAGATGGGAGAGGAGGTTTCGTACTGATGTGTAGGACAGGGAAGTAGTGATGGGAGCACTTCCTCTAGAAAGGGTGCAGGATCATGTGCCAACGTAAGCGTAATCCGGAGGAGGGTCAAGTCCTGGAGGATATATCCCATGGAGTGAGCCTGCAGTGGGGCTAGGCAGCAAGGGGAACAGGGGGAACGGGACAAGATGTGTGTGCAGGAGGAGGCAGAGGCAGTGCAGCAGTTCTGGGTGCTAATCGTCCTTGTCCTTGGCCCCATGCTTCAGGATGCGGGTGAACTCCACATAGTTGAAGTTGCCCTTCTTGTCGATGGGAGCCTCCCGATACATCTCATCCACCTCCTCCTCTGTGAACCTGTCTCCCATGGTGGTGAGCAGCTCACGCAGATGGTCCTCATGAATGAAGCCTGTGGGGACAGCAGAGGAGGAGGAGCTCATGCAGGGCACAGGAGTGCAGGAGAGCCGCGGCTGGACAGGGCATGGTAGGAGGACGGGGAGAGGTAGGGTCTTCTTAATCCTCCTGCACCCCCTCCCTGTTATTCCACTCCGCCAGCGCCCGTGCACGCTGCCCTTGCACAGGCCCTTCATCATACAGATGTGTGCCGACCTGGGGCAGCAGCCCGCGCCGGCCCTGCCACCCGCTGTGTGCAGAGGGTCCCCAGGACGGCACCAGAGCACGGGGCTGGCAAGGCAGAGCTCCTACCTGTCGCGTCCTCATCAAAGCAGGCAAAGGCGTTGCGGATCACGTCTTCTGGGTCGGTACCGTTCAGCTTCTCCCCAAACATGGTGAGGAACATGGTGAAGTTGATGGGCCCCGGTGCCTCGCTCATCATGCCCTCCAGGTACTCGTCGGTGGGGTTCTTCCCTGCCGGACACAAGCAGCAGCTGTGGGTGCTGAGCCCTCACGCCCTGCCCTGGGAGCACCCATCCTGCCTGCCAAGACCCACTGGGACAGCACAGCCTCGTGCCCTTGCTCTCCAGAAGAAATTCCGTGGTGGGAGACTCCCCTGGACCCTTTCAATTTGAGATATAACCTGCCTGAACTGTGTCTAAACTTGACCACACGCAGCTCGCGATGCACTCAGGACATGCCTGATGGTCCCCAAATGCTTCCTCCTCTATCCATCTCACTTTAGTTAGGGCTGAGAGAGAAAAAGCAAGTGCTCCTCCCCCCCCAAGCACCTGCAGTTCTGTTTTCAGCGTTACCTTTGCAGCATTGCAGCAGCCTCCCCTTCCCGGGAAAGCAGCAGGGTCAAGGTTCCCAAGCTACTTAAGCCCAGCTCCCCAAAAGATAAATCCCACTGAATTCTGCTTCCATGCTCTGAGAGCTATAGTTTATGGGGAGGAGACTCCCTCCTGGCTGGACAGGGCCTTCAGAACAGGTTTGGTTGCCGGTCAATAATTGACAGACCTCCCAAAGAGCCATAGGGGTAGCACGCAGGGAACGGAGAGGGAAAAGTGAACCATGGCCTGCAGCTAAAGAAAAAACAAAAAAGGGCTCTGGGTGGGGAGAGAGGCCAGGTATGCAAGTCTCAATGGGGCCGCGGTATCCGGGTATCCAGCTTTTCACCTATCCACAGGCAGCCTTTGTGCTGGGCAACCTATAGAACAAGACTGGGCAGAACTAGCCAAGAACACCCCTAGGAAACCTGTGCTTTCCCAAAGCTTCTGCCTGGATCCGAGGGCTCTGCCTGTGTCCAGAGTTATCCCAGTTCCCCTGGGCACCCACCCGACAGTGCAGGTCTACTGCAGTGCCCTGTCAGTGCTGACACAAAGCTCATGCCGGCCAGCTGAACCCGCTCCCTCCTCCAAGTGCTATTTCAGAAAGAGATGAAAAAATTTGGGACAGCAGAGCTGGGCAGCAGTCTGTGCATGCCAGTAAGACACCTGCTGTGCAGGCATCCTCTTGCAGAGGGGACATTGCCGTGCACATGGGCCCTGGCAGAATGGCTTGCTGATGGCTGATGCAGGCTGCAGGGCTCATGAGGATGCTGATCCCTGCCAGGGCATCTGCTGCTGGCAGCAGACCTCCACCCACGTGTCCCCATAAACACGTTTCCAAAGGGCTACCAGGGCCAACAGAGATGGCTCCCCAGTCTTCACAGCCTGCATCAAACTGCCCCAAAGCAGGTGCTCTTTAACAGCACAATCCTCCAAGAGTGGGTTTTCAATGCAGGCAGGCTGCAGGAGTGCGGCAGTGACTGCCGTGCTAGGCACTGCTGTGCCCAAGCAGCTCTCTGCCCTTGCAGAAGAGGCATCTCAATTCAGAGGGTGCACAGGGGGCAGCGGAAGGGTTTCTCACCGAGGGAAGCCAGCATGTCGTGCAGATCCTCCTTGTCGATGAAGCCATCGCGGTTCTGGTCGATCATGTTGAAGGCTTCCTTGAACTCCTGGATCTGGGACTGGTCGAACATAGCAAAGACATTGGAGGTGGCGCGCTGAGGGCGCTTCTTGGTGGTCTTGGCTTTGGCACGCTTGCTCGACATCTTGGCGGCTGGTGATGTCCCTAGAGCAGGGCAGGGAAAGCAGGCAGGAGCGTGAGGAGGGAGAGGCTGCGAGACAAAGTGGACAAGGGCAGGGCAAGGAGTCAAGATTCCTGGATTCCCCTTCTGGATGTGCAAATAACCACTTACCAATCCCGTGCCTCAGTTTCCTTGGCTGACAAACAGTTTGGCATGGTAAGATAATTTGGTCACAAAGTAAGGCATGGGGATAGGCGAGGCAAAGGCTAGGAAATCACATATTCTATGTGCACACAGAAGCACTGGGGAAATCTCGCTACTTTCATGGACTTTGTTACCTGTGATGAAAATTCAAAGGACTCAGAACTGCCAGCTCCAACCCCCAGAGCCTCCTGCTCCTTATGGCTATGAAGGACACCTCGAGACAGCTGATACGTGGCTCCTGCACAAGAGCAGGCAGCCCCACTTGCCCTGCGTCCAAGAGCCCTCCCTGTAGACAGGCGCAAGTCTGTCCCAAGTTGCTCCACGGCTGGCCCTGTTTGCTCCCATTGTGGTTAGTGAAAGTTAACTTTCTTGCTGGGCATTCCTTGCCGCTGCCTGCAGATGCTGGGGAGTGGTAGGACCCTACCTAGCACCAGGACTTGCATGGCGGTTTGCTTTGCTGCCTTGTAGCACCAGCTCCTACTGGAGCAAAAGTGAGGAGAGCAACGTCAGCGCAGTCAGCTCCCCGAAACCTGCTGCGCAGGCCTGTCCCTCTGCCCCCGCACACAGGGAGAGCACCCCACGGCTCCTAGGGGGGGATGAGATGCCCCCTTGGCTTTCTGGGCCAAAGAATTGGCGCAAGGAGCCAGATTCTGCTCTGCTGACCCAGCACGGACTGGGCCTGCGCGCGGGCCCGAAAGCAGAACTGCCCAGGCCCTTCCGAGCAGGGCACATCAAGCGGAGCGCGGAGGCTGCACCGGCGAGTGCCAGCGAAGCGGGCCCTGTTCGTGCCCATGCTGGCGAAGCGGGCCCTGCTCATGCCCACGCTGGCGAAGCGAGCCCTGCTCATGCCCACACCGTGTGTCCCTCCACCCTGCTGCATCGCCGGGCTCTCCAGCCGCGTGCCCGCCACCACTATCTGCTTCCCCCACGGGCACACGCAGGAGCCTCGGCAGCGCCCAGCACCCAGCAGGAAGAGGGTTATCTGCTCCGGGCACATTCCTCACATTCCGCTGCCTTCCCTTCCCCCTCTTTGTTTAGGCAGCTGGAGGCTCCCGGCTCTCCATCCCTCCCGCCGCGCGCTCCACCAGGGCCCTGCCGCCCACGCGGGATCCAGCACGCACCCCACTGGGCCCACAGGTCTCCGCAGGGATATTCCACCCGGCCGTTGCGTTGGCCCCACGCTCAGGGCGCTCCATGCACCGGGAGAGCCGCAAGCATGGGCAAGGGCAGGGAAGGGGGGCCGACCACTCTGGAAAGCCTCCAAGGGAAGGACCTCTGTGGGCTCCGGCAGGGTTGTGTTAGAGCAGCAGCTCCCAAGGGCCTGAAGTACGTGCGGGAAGGAGGCTGCTGGGCACCGGCTGCTGGAGCCGGGCAGCGGAGCCAGGCAGGGAGCGTGGGGTGCAGAGACCCAATGCTCTTGTTGCAGGTAACATAAGTGGCAGGACTTCCCACCCAGGCAGCCCTCCCAGGGAAAGTCATCCAGCCTGGAGCGAGGGCTCATTACAGCTAACGAAGAGCCCCAGCAGACATAGCTGAGCCCCTTCCAGGCCTCGCAGCGGCCACCAGGAGGGACAGGCTGGGTCAAGGGGGTTTCTGGGCTCTCCCCGGGACCGTGTCAGCTGGCAGCTGCCTCGCAGCATGGTGAGAACGTCCGAGGCTTGGTAAGGCTGATGGAGATGCTATTTGTAGCCTCCGCTTCCCGCCCAGCCGGGATCCCAGGGCGGCCAGGCCGTTCCGGGATGCGGGCGGAGTGCCGGGCGCTGCAGAGGTGGGAGCTGAGGCTGCTCCCAACCCTGCCGCGGTGCCCAGGCTCCCCTAGCTGGGCTGCACAGGAAGGACAACGCTGGGGCGGCCGCAGCCTGCGAGAGCCCCGGCCGCCAGGCCAGGGCCTGCCCCAGGGTGCAGGGAGCGCCCGGCAGCACCCACTGAGCCCTTCGTCCACAGGGGACCAGCTCCGCGGCCCACGGGGACTGTCCCCAGTGCCCCGCAAGGCCCCTGCCACCACGGACAGCCCCTGGGATGCAGCCGTTAACGTCCGTGGGGAGGGACGTGGGACACGCAGAGGCCATCACCCCTCCACCACTCGGTCCTTCCCCAGCGCCTGCAAGGGAAGAGGTGCTTGAGAGCGGCCAGCTGAGGAAAATGGCATAACTAAAAAGCCAAGGTGCCCACAGGCAGCGCGGGAGGGCAGTCTCGCCCTCCTCAGGCCCGCTGACCTGCCAATTCCCCCCCGCCTCTGCGCTGCAAAGTTCTTTGCAACGGGACAATATCTTGTTGTCAGACGCCAGCACGCGCTCCTTCCTCGTAACAACGAAGGTGCAGACAACGGTGTGGGCATCAGTCACGAGGCGGGATCCGGCTGAACAGCACGAGTCACCTCAATTCTGCTGTGCCCGCTCCGAGGCAGCAATAAAGGCTCTGTTGCCCACCATCACGTGGGGCTGCAGATCGGGCCCGTGCTGAGCTTTCAAAACATAACGGTTGTTAGCAGAATTGTTAGCAGAAGGCAAGAGAAATAAGCAGGAGCTTTGCTCTCACCCCATGAGCTAATATTATCCAAATATTCACCCTGCCCTGGCTGTGACCAGAGAGCACGAGAGTGGCTTGGCACATTCTCCCAAAGAGATGGCTCCTGTTAGGCGGATTAAGAGCGATTCTGACAGCGCACGGTTTTGTTGTTTCGTTCTGCTGTTTGATACAAAAAATCCTGGAAAGATGCTTTGGTTCCGAGACTCTGGTTTGGTGATGTCCTAACTGTTTTACTTCTGCTGTCAGCAGCATCCCATTGGGGCTGGCTGGGACATGCAGAGACACTATGTTTAGGTTGGTGCAAGGAAGGGGACATCAGTCACCTGGGTTTCACGGGGTGAGCGGTTTGGGGTCAGGCCTGGCTTGAGACAGGCGATCCATGCTGTGCAAAAGGGCTCGTGATGGCCCCTCTCCTTGGGTCTTGGAGCCCTGTCAAAAGAAGTCCCCCACAGCCCTGGGGTCTGGCCACAACCCTGGGGTCTGGCCACAGCCCTGGGGCTGGCCAAGGGCTTCCTGCCAGCAAACTCCAGGGCCACATCGTTTCGGGTAACGCCTGGTCACAAAGCCCTGCACAACGGATTCGGTCACAAAGCCCTGCACAACAGGGCTGAGCAAACTGATGCACCCCAGGAACCTCTGCCTTCTCCTCTGCAGGAAGAAAATCCATGGATATTGATTCTGCTCCTATCAAACATGGTAAATGCCCCATCTCAATGGATGCTCCCACCCAGGACCTATCGAACAGTGGGGACAGAGGGGTTAAATTCCAGCTAGCCTGGCACATTAGCCAAGTGCCAGCAGAACGAAGCCAAGCTCTGTCTCATACCAGGTCCTTCCCACACACAGCTCCTGTCACAGGCTGCCTTTATTTCCTTGACTTTCTGTCACATTTCCTGCCTAGAGAGTGTCCCCTCCTCCTGCACTGCTGGCTTGTGCCTTCCCCCAGGAGAGTCTGAGCTAAGCTGCCATGACACTGGCTTAAGAAGATCATAAATACACTAAGAGTAAGAGCAAAGGCTCACCGTTATCATATGAATCAACAGACCTATTTCCGTAGCCCAACAAAGCAGCTTCAGCATCACGCTGTTTTGTGATGGCCGTGCTAAGGGAAGGCGGGATGAGCCAAATGGACATCCCAGTGCCATGCAGGGAGAGAGGGTCAGTCCTACTTCCATCTTCCTACCACTTGCTTGCTTCCACCCTTACCTTACAGCCCATCTTCTCATGAGACAGTCAACTCACTATCCCAGCTAGGAAATAAAAAAGCAGGTAGCATCTTCTGGATCGAAGGGCTGAAACGGCTTGTGGAAGGGCTGACTGGCATGAAGGAGAGAAGTGCATGGCCAGGGAAGGGGGAGAGCTTTCCTCTGCAGCACCAGCAAGCTCCTGGCTGCTTGTGAAAACTGCAGAGCACAGTGTCATGGGCTCTGCAAACGCAGCGCTGTCTACCCAAATACAAGTGCGGCAGAGGATGCAGAGATACAGAAGCAGCAGAAATGCAGGAAATGAGGCTAACGCTTGCAGAGAACAAGTCCTCCATATCGGAGCATGTATGTTACCAATACAAGCAAGTCTGCTGGCAACTACTGGTCTCTGTCCAGAGACTGTGCGAGGCCAAAGGCAGCCGTGTTTCACATGGGTATGGGCCATGAGCTGCGCATGTCCCTCCACTGGCACCCACATGCCGATGCAAAGGGCAAGACCTGTACATCCTTTGCTCCCATCACTCCAAATAAATCCCCTTCCCTCCCCACACTGCACTCTCCCTGTTCCCAGTGCATTCCTACAAGGCCAGAGAGGTTGTGGAGTCTCCTTCTCTGGAGATCTTCAAAACCCGCTTGGATGCAGTCCTGTGCCACGTGCTTTAGGTGACCCTGCGTGTGCAGGGGGTTGGACTAGATGATCTCTAGAGGTCCCTTCCAACCCTAAGCATTCTATGATTCTATGATTCTATGATTCTAAGGCGCCCTGCTCTCAGGTCACTGCAGGAAGAAGGAAGATCTCTGAGGCCAAACCCAGTTCTTTGTAAAAGAGACCTTTCAAAAGGGCTCCCCTCGTGTCCCCTGGGTGTTAGTAGCCCCAGGTGGCCTGGGGCAGGTGACCCAGGTCCTGCTCCACGTTGCCGGAGGCAGCGCGCTGCCGCTGCGGTGCGCAGGCCGGTTTGGCAGGGTGGGCAGCAAGCTCCCCCGGCCCTGGGGAGCATTCCCGGCCCTGGCCAAAGGACAGCAAAGGGGCAAAGCCGACAGCGCGGACACCGCTTTGAGGGCATCTCTTCTGCAAAGGGGCCAGATGACAGGGGCCAGCAATCACAAGCCATCCTCCTGAGCTG